CACACTTATATGGTAGGCCACTGTATATGGTCTGCTTGATTAGTAATAGATTTTAAAGGTAGTTGTTGGGCTGATAACCTTGGAATACGGGATTTAAATATTGGTTTCTTGCTTAAATTAGATCTCGTTGGAATGTTGAATTACTCGAACCTACGAATAATGGTGTAATTAAAATATATTACGAGTAATGAATTAGTAATTAGAATAATACATACCCGAATTTTTGTAATATTGTTCCATCATTAAGTGTAAATATTTCTGCTGCTGCCATTAAATTTGAATTTAAAAAAAAAAAAAAAAAAATCAAATCAACGAATACTATATTATTTCATAATTAAATATGATTTTTCATTTTGCATTACACGGATTTCAAAATTCCTGGTCAGTTGGTCGGATTTTTTTTTTAATATACAGTAAATTAATAGACTCATGTTCACGTCTAAGGCCGCAAAAGTTGATTTTTTGCTTTGTATAACATGGATCAAAAATTGGGTTGGAAGTCAAATCTTTTTCTATTAGTTCTATCAGATAATTTCGGGAAAACAAGATCTCTATCGATAAAACTAAATTGCAAAAATATAATAAATGACACAATTGTGGGTTAAAAAACTTGAAAATTGAAAAAAAATGGGCTGTCGGGTAGTGCAAAATGAAAAATCAACTTGTGTGGCCCAATAAATACCATTATAAATTTCAAGATAATCTTTGTAACACTTTCTGGATTTGTAAGAGTCCGATACGTTGCACGGCTTAATAGCTGGATATTCTTTCAAATATCGGGTGAGAAAGTATAGATATTTTATCTTTGTATTCCTTCCTGTCTATTCGTTTTAACCATATGAAAAATTTGCAAGGAAAGTCTTCGAACTCATAATTGAGTATGCCTCTATATCCGTCAACTGCTCGTAATCATTTTGTCATGCGTTTATCCGTATTTGTACTTGCGGAGTTTAAAAAAGCTCTAAAATTTCTTCGTTAGTTGGTTTATTATGTGACATTAAAGTATTAAAGAAAGAGTTGGATCAAAACACAATCGCTCCTTTATCATTATATATCCATCATCAATGCTTATTATTAATCAAAGAGAGTTTATTCAATAAAGTACAACCCATGGTCAATAAGCACATTTATTGATAACTGAAGATTTTAAGATATATAATGCTGAATAAAAATCGTATTTTTGCTATTCATGCAAACTCTGCATATAACGGCCATCTTGTAATAAATTATTAATGGTATTAAGAATAAAATATCGAATAAAAATTTTATTCAGTTTTTGTAATCTCGGCGAAATAACTAATGAAGTGTAATGGTTATAACGATAAAAGCTCAACTATTTATGGAAATTTGATATGTTTGTATCGGTATACATCAGATTTAATAATATAGTGCAGGACACCTTTAAACCGGCAAATCTAAATTTGGTCCACTATCAATCGTAAATATTTATTACGGTAATGCTAATTGATCCATTTTATTCCGGCATCGCTATGAATAGATTTTTTGCCTTGAGATATTCTTGGTGTTCAAATTCATAATTACCTAAATTGATTCAAAGATTAAACGAAAGTACATCAAAAACTACTAAAGCAGTTTCATAATTTAAATATATTTTCAAATTTTAGAAGACTGTAGAATTTGAAATTGGTTAGGTCGTTTCCGAGATATCTTTATTAAAAAGTTGGTTGTATTAATTCAAAATTTAAAAGATACTCAGAAATAACCATTTTCTATATTCTGTATTTAAGAGGAACTTTCGAATTCTACACAAATTAAAACTGTAATTGACACACTGTAACTTGGGTGATGATAATACTAAATTTTATAATTTTTACATTCACAAAATGACACGGATAAAAAATTTCGTTAGAATGCTCTGAAATCTTATTGAAGAAAAATTTACAACACCAACCTGAATTCTAACGTCGTTACTCTTGTTACTCTCACGTGTTAGTGCAAATAACCAATAGATTAATGTTTTTTTTTAGGTTTGCAACACTCGCAGAAATTAAATAAAGATAATGATAATAAAATTTCTTTGATATACAGTATATACCACATAATAAATATATACTCAACAAGATAATTAATATAATCTCCAATATATAATATATATTGATATATTTTACTGTATATATTTAATTTTAAATACAGTAGTATAAAGATAAAAATAAATTATATGTATAGTTTTTTACTTTATATTATAACGATATATTTTGCTAGTCAAACTAATATGTTGATACATAATACTTTTCTAATAAATACCTATATATTTATATATATTTACACTCTTTGCTTATAGGGTACAACCTATAAACTACAAGGTCTATTATTTATAGTACCTGATGGCAGATCAGATAATTTATATTTTGAGCCAAGATATGGTAATAATGAAATTCGAGAATCTTCTCTTTGGGCCATAATTTCTTTTCCAATCTGCATTTGTAATTCTAATGGAATAATCCGTGCACCTGGTGGTGGAACTTCAATTCCATTATAATATAAAGTTGTGTTTGACATTTGAAATGCATTTAAAGAATTTGAAGGAGTGGAACGTCCATCAACTGAAAATCCACTACTTCCACCTTCAGTTAGAGATGGAGAATCAACACGTTGAGATGGCATGTCAGCATTTGATGTTAATCTTGCAGTATATGAGTGATCGACTTGGTTAGTAGTTCGTGATGAAAAATTAGAACTAGTGTTTTGGAGATTATTTTGAGAATTATTTTTTTGGAGATTGTTTTGAAGTTTGGGTATGTCACGAGAGGTGATAGTACCGGTTTCCTGATTTGAAAGTGATGAATCACGAAATATATAACGACGTTTAAAGTAGCTAAAACAACAAAATCCTATCAATGCTATAACTATTAATATTCCAAGAATTATACCAACTATTTCTTTAAAAAAAAAAAAAAACATATGCATGAATATAACTGATAAATTGAAATTAATCAGCATTTACATACGTGTATTTGTATTTAACATTACCTATTATAGGTATTGGCATTGATGAACTATTCTGCTGTACTGGGCCTTCATTTGTCGAAGAACGAGCTTCGAGTTTACTCATGGAATGAGGTGGAGATATTATATATGGAGAGATATCAGGCTTTGGTTCATTTCGTTTTTCCAGATGATCAGATGATTGTAAGGCAGATGGCTTTTGTGTGACGGATGGGGAGAATGGATGGGTCTCAAATAAACGAAAACAATCATTATCCTTGACATTCTCGCCTATAACAAAAGGCATTTAATCATCTAATTAAGATTATAACACATATAATACCAAAAATTTAATATATTAGAATTATATACCCTGCGAGCACAAGGCATCAAGATCGTTATTATTTCCTTTATTCATAATGTCATTTATTATTTGAGATTTTTTTCTTTTAAATAAAAAAAATTTCGGAATTATTTGAATTATTTGAAAGGATTTTTAGATACTGATGTATGGTCATAGAATGAGAAAAACATAAAAAAAGAGCCAAAGAAACCTCAAATCATTTAGAATGGAGGCCCTATAGAACGAAAAAGCTTTAAGAGACAACTACTGGAGAGTAATATATAATAATGGTACGTATGTTTTTTATGAACTAATAAGAACAACAAAAATATGCTGTTGACCAAAATAGTCCATCTGTGTATCTACATCGACCCGACGATGAAGTGAAGAACGAAAGGCCCGTGAGACAATTAACTAAAAAAGGCAACAAGAAAAGTCATTATTTCTACGTATATCCGTTTGTTTCATGTCTCGAAGGTACATACGTACGTACTTGTCTGAAAATATCTACAGTGTGATCGATACATATCCCGTCTGCCACATTTATTATAATAAAATCACATACTCTTTACATCCGTCTGCTACATTTGTAATAATAAATCACACAAAGGATGCACAAGAAAGAATGCAATTTAGAAAGCAAGTTCTTTAATTCGATCATATGTTTTTGCGACGTAAATACTTCAAAGTCCTGAGTGAGTTTTACTTTATCCTTTGTCAACTGCTAGTTTAATAATTATTAGAATAATGAACAATATCAAGGATAATGATTGTCGAATCGAACTTATGCATATTTGTTTGTTAATCATCTGTTTTCTAGAAACGGAAATGGCGTCAAATTTTTTTATACCAATTTAATACACACTAACGAATAAAAAGTAACATAGTAAATAGATTTACATACAAAAGTTACAATGAGTTAAATAACATTTTGGCGGAGAAATTTAATTAATTTAAAATTTTAGTCATCATTATGTATGTATGTATGTATGTATATCGCATACATCATGAACAATGAATATCGATATGTATAAATTTATTACCATTTAGCGTTCATCGCTGTTATAAATTACAGCTTAATTACAATTTAATTACAGCTTAATTACCGTTACAGTATTTAAAACTTAATGCCGCAGATGCCCGTAACTTATACTAAATTTAGTACAGAACTACTAAAAATACCGGTATGTCAACTTGAAATATATTTATTATGGTATATCCTTACTTTACATCCTAAAAATGTGCTTCTGTACGTACACGGGTATCGACATTTATGAGATTGGGCGTCGTCAGTCAAAAACGAGTCGTGAGATTTAAAAGTTTTATTACGTAAAAAATTATAAATTCAGATTTCAAAAATTATTTTACAATCAGTTTTTAGTTAACAGGTATCGGACATATTACGCATCACCATTAGTACTGAAGACGGCCGAACTTTCTCGAATAAACAATTTAGTACTGTATGATGCAAGAAGAAAACATTAACATAAAAGGTTAGTACTAGGTTAGTATTAGTTATAACGTAAATTAGGTTGTAATATTTAAGTAAATACAAGTTCTATACGCAGTACACCAATAAAATATAAGCTATATATCAATAAATTCTATTTAATTTACTACGTATGATAATTATTAAAAAAAAACTATACAATAAATTCTATTTAATTTACTATATATGATGATTATTAAAAAACTATACAATAAATTCTATTTAATTTCTATGATAATTATTAAATAAACTTATTAGCTTATTAGTAAAAAGTGATAAAATTATACTCTTACAACATATTTTGATTAATAACTTCCTACAAAATTTTTTTTATGTTTATAAAGAGGCACATTTCTCTTTTCTCATTTGACAATACATTATTTAGCCTCAATTTATTTATTTTTTTTTTGAAAAACATACAGTATTTTTAAACAAAATAATATAACACAAAAGTAATAATTACATTTTTGTGGTACAGTATTATTTTTTTTTTTATTATAAACAAATGTTTGAGTTATATAAGCTAAAATAACAATTAATTTTATCGATCAATAAACATCTAACAGGTATCGCAGATAAACCTTAGATACTAACGGGTATCACAGATAAAATCATTGATATCCTGTGAGTAATATAATATCCATATTCGATTATGATGTATGTGGATTGAAAATATCTTATTTTTTTAACAGAGATAATACATGGAATATCCCGCATTTGGATCCGACGTTAAAGAATCACTGAATGAAAGCACATACGTAACAAGTGTATCAGACGTACTAAATCCAAAAAAAAATCGTAACAATATTGTGACAGTTATTCGAGCATCTTTAAAAGATTTGCCTTTTGGGGAATGTTGTTCGTGAGCTCGTGAGTAAATACTTACTTGATTGTATTTCTATAAATATTAATACTGATTTTTTCTTTCGGATGTGAACATTAAAGTAATTTAGCAAGAAAAACAAAATATAATGTTTGAGGAGACTTATGAATTCATGAATAGTTATATACTATACATAAATGAAAACTAAATCAGTAAGTACATTACTACCCGAATAAGAACTTACCTTATAAAACGCATGTTTATGGAAAACTAAAGAGTATTATATTTAATTGGTCAACTTGAAAATAAAAATTTTATTTGCAAGTAGTATAATTCTCTTTTGTACACTGAATTTTTCACTCAGAACGAACTGAAGAACAAACAATTGACGACGACCAAATTGACGAACAAATTGAAGAACAAATAAACTGAAAAATCATGCGATCTTCTTTTTTGGATCAGTATTCCCCTAAGCATCCCTACAAAGCAATATTATTTTCCCAGACAGCCTTCCTCCAGACAATAATTATGAAAGTGGCTACTTTTGAAAACATATCCTTCCCAACTGGATAGGTTGTCTTTGAAATAAAGTGTAATTTAAGTTAATATTAAAATTAATATTAGTATTGATGAGAAAGATGAACAAATAAAAACAATAAAACTATAGCGTAAACAAATCAGCCGAAACGTCATCAGCTGCAAAACTCCTCTGAGCAGTGAAGAGGCAAGTGAGACAAGACGCTTAAAAATATCAATGTTGACAAAAAAGAAAGTTGAATCCGAACCCAATATTGCTGGAAATCTCTTGATTCGAACATTCTCATTAGAGACAAATTATGCAAGACATTATAGGAATTTATGTAAAATTTTAATTCCGCTAACAGAATTGTGGTAAGCATACATTTCAGTTTTTTTTAATTATATATTTCACAATAATCAAATTATCAAAAATAGCAGCAAGCCCCCTGAAGATAACGTTATGTAGACAATTCTTAAGTAAAATTATTTTTTTCTTTATAGAGTATAATGATATTCAATATGGTCTATTGTTACACGCACTCTTAGATCATCGAGACATATAGAAAAAAGTTTAACTGTATTCGAAAATCGCCAGAGAGTTTGCACGATGGTCCAGGCTCATAGCCGATCGCCCCACACGACATTTCATACTGAATTGAAGTCAATTTTTGATCTTTTATTTGGTCCACAAGAAAATGTAGTATCATTTGTATTTTATTTCTAATCAATAAAGCTAACCCTGATATCTGAATTATAATATATTATTGTATACTTTGTTATTTTTTTCATGTATCAATGGGATCATATTTAAAATAATTTGGTATGCCATAAAGTTATAATAACCCTTTTTCTAAAGTATTTTGGCATGCCAGGTTCTCTAGATTATATAGGCAGAAATTCGTTTGACTGATTGCCCGAGTAACTTATTTGTTTTAAGTTGTCATGGTAAAAATTGCGCATGGTCAATTGCAGAATTGTACGTAACTGGTAAAAAATGTAAAATAGTTTACGATAACGAGTAAAAATTTGTGATTTGATTGGTTAATAACCACGTTTAGATCTACAAACCGATCTAAAAATCCAATGCATTAATTAGAAAACACTTCTCTTTACAATTACGCAAAATCTAAAATGATAAAGGAGCAACTGATCTTTTTAGTTAAAAACTTGGGTCGATATGAGCAAATAAACGGCTTGCTTGATAAATCAATACTATATTATCGAATTGGTGATGATTGCAAAAGTAAATACCTATTTTTAATGAATGAACGCGACTAGGCGCGTCGCGATCTATGAACTGCTTCAGTATTTAACAGTTATTTGGTTTACATTCTAATCAATTTAATCAATTTAATCAATTGGTTATATTATTAGCTTCTCTCGAAAACATTCTGACACTTATTAAAGAACTTAAAAATGATGTGCTAGCTTATCTTTGGGAGTTGCAATTGCTCGAAAAGCATTTGTTGACTATTTTTTTACTAAATAATAATATCAAAGATAATGATACGAAGTCCATAATTGTTCTTATAAGTGAGTGACATGTTTATTTTTTTTTTTTCTTACATGAATTATAATAATTGCTTACAAGTTATTTATGTTTTTGATAGCTGAGCTATTTGTCTTGATGACAACACCCATTGATCTAGATCAGACTGTTGACTTTGCAGATGATAATGCGCGTCTACAAAGGGATATCTTAAAAGCTCAGTATGCTTATAAGGAATTATTTACAAAAAATCCCGCAGCACTCAGAACACTATTAAATCTACTCAATGATCATTTGATGATTGAGATTAGGGTCGTTTGCCTAGTGCTATCATTATTCCGAAATTTGTTGGCTATAGACAAAAAGGATAAAAGACTGCATGTTTGTAATATAAAAATGTATAGACTATGTTAATTGGATTTGATGTTTATACTTTTAATATTTTGCTTACATATATTCCACAGTATAATTTAGTACATCAATATTATAAAGAAACAATTATTGAGTGCTTTTGTTCACTCGATTCAAAACATATCGAATTATTTCAATGTAATATCATAATACAAGAGATATTCTATCATATTTTTCATGGTATCGAACCTTCCGAGATTTTGGAGAATCCCACAGCAGTTTGTAGATTCATTTTATTCTATTACAACTAAATAGAACCTTTTTTCGTGTGACCACTAATATGTTATTATTATTTTATAGGAAGCAAATGAATTTTCTAAAAAACTTTTAGAAGATGAGGAAAAAAAGAAGGAAGATCGTCGTCGTTTTAGTGAACGGTTTAGCGGGAAGTATTGGGTGAAGATGCCTGTATGCATACTATTTTCTATTTTCGATTTATGTTATTCTAATTATCAGTTATTTAATTTAAATATTTATGTGCAACTATTTTTAAAATTTAAGGATGGTTATGAAATACTTACTTCCAAAAAGGACGCGCGTGCCGATAAACTTCCTGATGAACATGAAGACAAAGAGAATAAAGAGAATAAACGTACGATCCGAGTATGTGTTTTATTTTAAAGATTATCATATTTTGTAATTATTAAAAGATATTAATATAGATACATTGTTTTAGGAAGAATGGCTACCCAAGAAGAAGATCATACTTGATATTATTGACGTTGCGCGTGATTGTTTAAAAGTTACTGCAATTAAATTTTTAAACACTATATTCACCAGTAATTATAATACTTTATCATTCTAAATTCACTTTGACTTTGAAAATTACATCCAAACTTATTATAATTTTATTATAATTCTTCCTTAAGCACTTGTACACTCTGTTGTAAAAGATCTGAAATCAGAGCATTACAATGACTATCGGCATTCAAATCATTTGTTCTATATTGTGAGATTTTTCCTTGAACTTCATCAACTCTTAAGCATGAAAGATTCAAATGCTGTTTCGATAAAAAATTGGCCAGATATCTTGAATTGTAAAATATTTAAATTGTTGTTTAACAAGATTAGATACTTCAAAGACCAAAAGGTGAGAATAACTGTCGCAGCTAACCTTATTAATAACACTAATTATAAATCCTAACTCGAACTTAAAAAAAATTTATTTTTTAAAATAGGTCAGATTTCAGCATATACCAATTTTAGCATTAATCGTAACTATTGTTTTAAATTTTTATACTAAAATATTGGTTCGATTGTAGTTATGGTCAGAACTTCAAGTTGGACTAGAATGTTTGAAGCAAATGGTAACTTTTTGGTACTTTGCAAATTTCTCATAAAAGATTTGTATTTCTCATAATAGATTTGTATTTTCTCATAATAGATTTGTAATTATGATAACATACATACTATATCATACTAAACATTAATTTTATTATTATTTTTAGTCAAGAACCATTGAAATTATGGGTTCAAAACATTCTAATAAGGATCATGAAACTCGTAACAAAGCTCAACAACTGCAATATCGCATTTTGTGCGACAAAGAAAATTTGGAACTGATTGTTGACGTTGTTAAAAGTTCTTCCAAGCAATCTGTGAGGTATTAAAATTTCATATCATACAAATTCTTTCATTGTTATTTTTAGTATTTAAGTACATATTAATTACATGCTTCAATAAGTATAATTCTAAATCTCCTTGTGATATTTATCAAATAAAAGTTTTCTTCGAAGCTTAGTTGAGACAGTACACCGACTTTTGTCTATGCTTGAACGAGTCAAGTCGAGAAAGTATATTTATGTTAAACAAAAACGTCAAAGTACGTATCTGTGATCCTTTATAATTTTTATCATCTTTATCATCTTAATTGTCACCATTCTAATATTGCTGATCGTTTTAAAGCAAATAGACCTAATAAAAAAGTAAAATATATTAAGGATGAATATGAATATACAATTGACAAAATTGATTCACGTGAGCAAAATTATAGAACGGAAACATTTGATAGATACGAAATGGTAATGCATTGAATTTTATAATATATTTGTCGCAGTTTGTAAAATTCTGTAACCTAGTGGTCGTTAAAGTTACAGCCATTGAACACACATTCGATTGGCTTCTATTATGATTAGGTATGTTAAACGGACATTTGGGTTGATTTTTAAAATAATTGATAAGATTTGATTCTAAATGATCGTTTAACATCCCTAAACATAATACGATCAATCGTGTATAATGATCGTCACTTTAATAATCACTAGGATCATAAATAGAATGAATTAGATTACATCAACATCCATGTTAATGCTGACATATAACACAGTGCTATGTTAATGAAGAAGTCCTATCGACTTATTGTGCACTATTGGATAAAGAGTACGAAACAGTTGATTTAGATTTTCATTACATCAATATGATGTTTTTTCGTATGCTTTCTCATTGTGAATCTTCAATTTTCATGAAGGTATGTTAATGATATATATACACCAAGGTTTGATTGATTTGTGTATTTACATTTATAAACTTTTTTTCATTAGTTATCATTTATGGAACTTTTACACCGAGTTCTTGAACACTTTAAGGAACTGACCGACACTTTCAATTTGAATTTGAATGACTCACAAATTAAATTCAGAGACTTTGCATATAAAATTGTAAAAGACTTTGCTATACGAATGGAAAAGCATCCACTAACTTATATCGAAGTAAAATTCATTATCACATTTTTAATTCGATTACGTAATAAATTTAAAATTAATTTTAATTAACTATTCATAATATTTTTTCACAGCTTATATTTCCTAAGAACGATTTGCTTACACTACGAAGTGATAGAGTTTAGAACCGGGTTATAGTAAACTGGGTCACCCGTGTCAAAACGGTTCAACCGGGTCAAAAATTTACAACTCGGGTCAAAACGGTTGAATATGTAACCTCT